GACATGTTGTGTCAGGGCATTTTCCATGGTAGTCAAGAGTAACCGGCTGTCAAACTTATTAGTGGATCCTGGAGATGTGCCAGCTACCCAGTCTATATGAGGTGCATTAAAATCACCTAGAATAAGACAGCTACTGTGTTTACTCCATTGTTTGAGGTGATCTAAAATAAAGTCATCACACTGACAAAAGGGACTTCTATACATAACTCCATTGAGTAGAGTGCCAGTTGCAAAGCTTACTTCACAGCTAATTACCTCACTTGTCCCACTGTCATGCGCTTCAGATTTCACGGAACGAACATGTAGGGAGTTGTTGATGTACAGAGCAACCCCGCCACCTCTACGACCCTTAACCCTGTCGCTGCGCAAGCAACTAAATCCGCATAGCTCAGGTGTGTCATCTAATCCAGAAACCAGCCATGTTTCAGTAATGGCCACAATACTTGGGCTAAGGTCTTCCACTAATACACCTAGCTCGTGAAGTTTGTTCCCGATACTACGTACATTGGTGTACACTACCTTCAGGCTTCCTATGCGGTCCGGCTTATCCACACAGGTCTTGGAAGCATACGTTTCCAAGACCTGACTATTTGAAAACCCACCAGTTTGAGGTTAGTCTCACCATTTTTACGTCTTGTTTCTAGCTGGGACAAAACTTCTTTTCGTTTACGTCTGTCTTCCAGAGATAAATCAGGTCTGACTGAAATTCCTGACCCGGCAAGGTTGTGTATATTAGCCAGTAGATGATTCCGTTCATCAGGAGAACCTAAGACTACTTTAAGCAACCTACGCTGATTAGAACATTCATCATCTCTTTTGCCTATTCTAATCAGCTTTTTAATCGATACTCCAGGGAAATTCGCTGGAAGCATCTTCCTTATAATACTACTCACTAATTTAAGGTCGTGATCGTGCCTTTTCACGGGATCAGATTCTTTGGACTCTTCTAAATTTCCAACAATTATGTTAGAGTCTAAGGAGAGCTTGTCGTGTTTAGCAGTAGCTACGTCTTTTCTCACCACTATTGATGCAGCCTGGCTACAGGTGACAGATGTTTGCCTACCATCAATATAACTGTATTTCTTCCGATTGCTTATTTTTGTTTCCCACTGATCATCTGCCTGCAGTTGCTTCTCAGGGCTGCTGCAGTTTTTGATGGTACAATCGAGATCAGTGTCTGCACCACCTTCATGGTGAACTTCGCTTACAGTGTTCTCTGGTGCTGAGATGCTGTTTGCAGCTTCCGTTTCGTTACCTTTTCGCTTACTAAAACGCTTCGAACGCCTAGTAGGTTTTACTTCCGGGGTAACTGGGATAGTAACCGCCGGTGTGGTAACATTCACGATGGCACTTACTGCGTCATCTTCAGACGTGCAGTCTGTGTCACTATTACTAGCCACGCTATCATCAGGAAGTTCCATGGCTTTAGACAGTAGTTCGTGAGCCTCCCTTATTAAAGTCATCTTTGGGGAGCAACACATTCTGCACATCCAGTGGGAAGTTGGAGCACTACAAGGTTTGTATGCAGCTGGACGTAATCCAGTACACATCTTATGATACCACTTTTTACAGTTATTACACTGTATTCCATCATCTACCAAAAAGTAACACTCCACCCTATTACATTTATGTGGTACTTTTGACACAATGAACTTCTACTGGAAACAGCCAAGACAATTTACCCAATATAGACTATATAAGTGGTTAAAACCAAAACTTAACAGACAAAAGTGAAGTTAAAGTTTTTAAAAATGTTCTTGAAGTGAATAACACAACACAAACAGCGATTTGTCAAATACGTGAAAGAAGCCCTCACTTTTTCTAACAGCGCCTTTCCTGAGACATGACACAAAATCGACTTTAGTACTTAGGTTCTACAGAAAGGTTTCGGTTCGTATAAAGAAAGACTGCCTGACTGCAGACGCTTTGCATATATGGGTGAATGCCAACAGTTTGAACAGACGTGAAGGTATGATCTTGTATGCTGAAACATGGCAAATCTTCCGTTATGTTAACTTCGATTAATTTCCCTGAACTACATTCTACTCTCCATTATAGATAAAATTTTGTTATAATAAAATCACACAGTGTTATACAGTAATATTTACTGGTAATGTTTCAAGCACAAATTATTGCTGCTCATAATCATATCAAGGCACTCACAAAACTTTCTTGCTTCATTTATATTATTATTAGTCCGTTGGGTTCTGAGAGGAACATAGGGCTAGCTTCAACAACACATCTCCACTTTCTTCTATTTTCTGTCATTCATCCTCGGCTAGCTCCACGAGTGCCCATTATCTCTCACCTCTTCCTCACACGATCTCTTTCATGTCAACCTCGCACCGACCATCCACTTGTCCGTCACTTCCCATTTGGTTTCCATTCGAGAGATGGCCTGCATAGCGCGCGATGTCATTCGACCGATGGCATCCTCCTTATTTTATGCCCTATCAATCCATCTCCATTTTCTCCCACATATTTGTCGAACAATCGGCTCTTGGTTGGTTTGTGGTTCATCGCCAGAGTTTGTTGTTGCTATCTCTTACTGGCCAGTCGACCGGCTGGCTGGCCATTTGATCTTCAGTAAAAAGCCAGCCAGCCAGCCAGCCAACGAAGGTGGCAGCTGTTGACGAAAGTCTGCAGTGACCTGTTGGAAAATTTTCCGTGACGCACACGCAGTGCAAGTTTCTGACATTGATGTTGAAAATCCGAATCTTCCTCCTTATGCTAAGTGTAGAAGAGTGCAGAAGATTTCCAAACTGATTTCAAGTTGATGAAGGTGTGCCTATCTTGCTTGTCTTTTGGATGCTGACTGGCTGGCTGGCTTTGACATCTTTATCCGTGTCAGCCACCTGCAGTAAAAACGATGCCTCCTAGATAAGCGAAACCTAGATAAGTAACCTCTGTTAAATCTCTCCCGTTGGTGGTGGGTGACTGGTGCTGGTTGTTGTTGTGGCTGGTCGTTGGTTATCTTCATCACCTCCATTGCCACCTCCTCTATGTTCGCCTGGATGAAGTTCTGTCTTTGCTGCCAGCCAACTTCTTCTTCCTGCCAGTTTGTTGCTTTTCGCCTGTCTCTAAGACTTCGAGTTTGTGTGACATTAGACACATATCATCCAGACGCGAAATCCAGATCTTTTAGAGTCCTCTTATCAGTGTTCCCGCGTAATCCTGTCTCCTTTCTCCCATGCACAGTCTGACGCATAATACAGTCTACCACAATTAACAATATCATCGTCGGTGATAATAGGCAGTCAGCCAGCTTATCTTACTCCAGTGTTCCCTTCGAATGCCTCGCTGAGTTTTTCGTTGTGGATCACCTGACACGTGGCCTCATTGTCATATAGCCAGCCAGGTGTTGAATGAGGTTGATGAAGAATTGAGGTACATGAGTAAAAATTGATTAGACATTTGAATTAAGTCAATATAAGATGGAGTACATTCGGAAAAAAATATTTTTCTATACGCGATTCTATTTAGGCTCCGAGATTTGTTGTATTTTTCATCGATTTCCTAGCGTGATGAAGTTCTTCAGTGGCATATATATATATTGAGACTTACAGTATAAATTTGCTTCACATCATGGTTTACGAGTGGACTGCAAGAGTGAATTATTTATATAATAGCAGGCATACTTTCCTGCCTGCTTGGCTGTATTGTCAATCGACTTTTAAGGACTTCACTATCATCTCCAATCACAACAAATTCGCACAGATGCCTTATTCCATTCTGTATTTCTAGACAAAACGTAACTGATTACCATTCTTTAACATGGTTCGTCGCATTCGTCTGAAGTCTGAATCAATACTTTCGTCTGACATTTAGTCTTTGATTACTTTCCGTGATATGACAGGTGTTACATTGACAGGCCTATAATTGCATGCACTAGTTTTGGCTCCTGCTTCTTGCTTAGGTAGTATATACGTGTTTTTCCAAGTTTCAGGGTAGGTTCCAGTCACTAGTGAGAGGGTGAATATTCTAAGTAATATTACTATCATATCCGTCCCACCGTTTTTGTATATGACAGATGGTACATCATCTATCCCACAACTACTAGCTTTTATCGCTGATGCTATATTTTGTATATTGAAGTTGATTTCACCTAACTTGTAGTTATTTTTGCAGGTTATGTCGAGGATTGGGAATGGATGCTCTTTGGCGTTATTGGAGAACCACTGGTTTAGGAGTTCACAAATAATCTGGGGATCATCATAAATTATACCTTCATACTCCAAGTGGCCAACATGATTTTCTTTACCCTCTTTTAGTCGTTTTTGCAAGATCTTGCATAGTTCCTGAGTTTCAGAGGTGCCCCCTAGGGCCTTATTTTCCTCGAGTTGTGCCTTCATTCTATGTCTCTCCTCAAGATTTTTAATGTCTCATGTATCTGGTGTAATGCACTAAATTCTTTATATGAATAAAATTTTCTTTTCAGTTTCCTTATTTTTAATCGCGTTTTGCGGTCTATGAATAGAGCTGGTGTATTTAGGGCAGATTTTAGGGGTGCAATTGTGTCTCTTATAGAACCGACCATCTTGTAGAAGGTATCAAGTGTTACTTCTAAGTTATCATTGGTAAAGTATTCATCCCAGCCAGAGCTTCTCAAGATCGTTGGTAGGAATTGCCAGTCGGCATTTCTATAGTTCCTATATTCATAGTGAACCGGGGGATTTTTGTGTGTGTGTTTAGTTGTTAGTTGAAGAGGTAGGGTAAATGCTCTTGCGAGTAGTAGTTAGTTATTAGTTCATAAAGTGTAGTTGAACCAGAGTTTTCAGTTATCTGTTAAAACAGGCTAATTCGAGGAATTTCAAGTGAAACCTTTGGTTTCCGGTAAAAATGCTGTGCCTCCCAGAAGCTTCATATTCTTACTTCCCCATAGTTAGACATGCAGGAGGCATTATATCTTTTGCTTACTGATCAATTTAACAGTTACCTTGATAATATCAAATTTGTTTATTTATGTGGCTAATGAATATGAATGCATTTCTAGTTGCTTTGAACGTCAAGGACATTAGTGTGTCGGTAGTGTGTCGGTAAGATGGTGTTTAGGGTTAATGGTCGTAATATGTTTCGATAGGTTTAGCTTAAAAACAGTAGCAATAGTTCTGGTAGTTTAAATGTGCAGTTAACACAAAAGCTAGCTAGTCGAAACTCGTCTATTAAGCAATTTTAGAGCACTTGAGGGAAAGTATGAGGGATTTGAGTTGTTTTAAGTTTAGATGCCTCAAAATTACTTCTATATCTCTCTCCTGATGTTTTTAGTAGGAAACTGTTGAATTTTCTCAAAACTTTTACACTGCAGTGAGCCATGCATGCCTCAACATTTTTCTGTCAGGCGCCTCATTTGGATCGCAAAACGAAGAGGTTTAACGGGTCATGCATGTTTGGTCTTCTGCTGTTAGAAAATTATGTACATATATACCTTTTTAGGTTTATATGGATTGTTATTTACTGAGAGTAAGTGTTTACTATTCCTTCAGGATGAAATGTTACACAGTAGATATTATCCCAGCGTACGGCAATGCTAAACTATTTGTGAACTATATGTAAGTGGTGCAATTCAATATGGGTGTTTTTTCTATTGAGCAAAAACTAATATGTACTGAATTAATGACTATCTGATGCAACCCGTTCTGAAAAATGCTACTCATTTTGCACCTACGTTGTTTTTGCTGTCTCCAGTTATTTGCGATGGTATTATGATGTGGATCGCCAGTCATTGATTAAGCCATCCACGGTTTACTCATTATTTCACCACCGTTGGTTAGTCACTCCCGCATAGCCGATCTCAGTAGCCAGTAAGAGCAGAGTTCTTGAGATTTTTGTTTCTTTCCTTTCTGCTTTTCCTTTCTGCAATTCAGCGAGTGGTACTCATTTCATGTTATGACTGCATCCTACTGTGTAACAACCGGTGGTACTACTTGTTTTTAATTACTTGTTGCATAAATCATTTACTTCATTTCTTGAACTGTAACAAGACCGACAATATTTAGGCTCACTGTTGTCGAAAAAATGGATGATATCTTTTGCAGTTTACCGAGTCATTTGAATTCAAGTATGCTTTCACGCTGTTTGTGACCGTTCATCATTAAAGTTTGTCACATTGTCTTTTGTTCTGTTTTGTTTCACAGGTTAGATTGATATGTCCGAAACTGTTGAATGTCATTTTTGCAAAAGCAAGTTTTCCGACCATGCGGAATATTGGAAGCATGTCTACGAGGAGGACTGTACCGCTCCACATAAGGAGATAAGTCTCTCTACTAGTGATTACAACACAAATATTCAGAAATCAAATTATGATGTTTCCAGAATACGTGACAACTTACAGGTTCCAAATGGACACTCTAGTGAAATCAATTTTTACACTAGGTCAACAACATATAATGGTAGTGAAAAGTCAGTTAAGGAAGATAAAACTAACCGTGTTTATTGTTCTATATGCGAAATATATATGAGACCACGTGATGTAATGAATCACGAAAGCGGGAAGAAGCATCTAAAGAGGGCAGGCGCTTTGAGTTTAAATGCATGTAGACCTGATGTGTTTCAGTATATTGCAGAAAGCTATTTGAATACTAATTACCCAACAAGTAATCATGTACAGTGCCTTAGTGAATCCGGAGAAAGTAGCGTTTCCAAGTCTCAGAATCTACCAAGAAATGTAGTTCAGACGCAGAAATGCGATATCGATTCCGAATATATTGAAGATGAAGCTATGCGTGAGTTGGTCGAAAAACGGTGCAAAGATGTTTCAAATGAAATAACTGTCAAGTCAGTGTTACGTAGAATGTGCATGATTGGAATTTCATCTCAGCTAACTGAGATTATTGGGGATGGGGATCAAAACAATGACTTCCTTTCGCAATTAATGATAAAATGTCGAAATGACTTAAATGCTCTTTTACATCATGAAATACCTATTCCTTGGACCTGTCCAAAGTCGAATTCACAGGCCAATGGCACATCAAAACATAAGACTGATCATAGTCATAATATGTCGTTTGATCACCTCTTATTATGGATTAAACAACTTCATATTTTGGAGAACGGTTAGATTAACTCAGTGATGTATTTGTATAGATTTTATATCTGAGTTTTCAGATATAATGAGTTATAAAAATGCAAGTGTTTATTTATTAAAATGTGTATTCTCTTCTTCGATAGTGGGTGTTTAAAACTGATTGTCATTACTGTTTAGAATGTTTACAACATTCGTTTACTCTCGTCAAGTTTTATCAGCTAAAATGATCTCAGGAGAATGTATCACTGAATCTACACTTTGTAACTTAAGGTGATGGACATGTCTCTCAGTGTGATACTTAAGTGTTGCATGCTTTTCAAGTTATACCTTACCGAATATGTTTCTATACTGTCATTGGTTTTTTTGGAATTGTGTTGGTGGGTCCTCGTAAATCTCAACCAGTTACTAAAAAATAATTCTAAGATGAAACAGTCACGAGAAGACCAGTTAAGTTAGGGATCCTTAAATAGTTGTCTACTACTATCGTTAAGATAAGGAGTCAATACTTCTTCCTTTGTATCGACACGTTTCGGTGTGCATTTCATTTTCAGACGTCAAAAATATGCGAAAGACTTGTAGTTACCCATCCCAGCGTGTTATGGCGTAAGATGATTAGGTTTAATAATATTTTGCCCTCTGCACTACGCTTCCGAGGACGAGATATGCTTTCAAACAGTTGCTTCCGCGCTATTAATTTTCTTGTCTTCACTTATTGTGATTGGCTGGTGTCATGTACTATGCGTGAACACTGCAAAATTCATAGTCTTCACGGATTCCAGTGTTTCATCGAGTGTCATCCACTAGGCATTTATTAGTCATATGAAATAAAAGGCGTTCAGTGAGAGGTTACTCTTTTCAACGATAACATTCTCAAGTTGTACAGTAGCATATATATATATATATATATATATATATATAGGGAGTGCTTTTTTCACGTATTTGACAAATTGCTGTTTTTGTTGTGTTATTCACTTCGAGAACATTTAAAAAAAACTTTAACTTCACTTTTGTCTGTTAAGTTTTGGTTTTAACCACTAATATAGTCTATATTGGGTAAATTGTCTTGGCTGTTTCCAGTAGAAGTTCATTGTGTCAAAAGTACCACATAAATGTAATAGGGTGGAGTGTTACTTTTTGGTAGATGATGGAATACAGTGTAATAACTGTAAAAAGTGGTATCATAAGATGTGTACTGGATTACGTCCAGCTGCATACAAACCTTGTAGTGCTCCAACTTCCCACTGGATGTGCAGAATGTGTTGCTCCCCAAAGATGACTTTAATAAGGGAGGCTCACGAACTACTGTCTAAAGCCATGGAACTTCCTGATGATAGCGTGGCTAGTAATAGTGACACAGACTGCACGTCTGAAGATGACGCAGTAAGTGCCATCATGAATGTTACCACACCGGCGGTTACTATCCCAGTTACCCCGGAAGTAAAACCTACTAGGCGTTCGAAGCGTTTTAGTAAGCGAAAAGGTAACGAAACGGAAGCTGCAAACAGCATCTCAGCACCAGAGAACACTGTAAGCGAAGTTCACCATGAAGGTGGTGCAGACACTGATCTCGACTGTACCATCAAAAACTGCAGCAGCCCTGAGAAGCAACTGCAGGCAGATGATCAGTGGGTAACGAAAACAAGCAATCGAAAGAAACGTAGTAATACTGATGGTAAACAAACGTCTGTCACCTGTAGCCAGGCTGCATCAGTAGTGGTGAGAAAAGACGTAGCCACTGCTATACGCGACAAGCTCTCCTTAGACTCTAACATAATTGTTGAAAATTTAGAAGAGTCCAAAGAATCTGATCCCGTGAAAAGGCACGATCACGACCTTAAATTAGTGAGTAGTATTATAAGGAAGATGCTTCCAGCGAATTTCCCTGGAGTATCGATTAAAAAGCTGATTAGAATAGGCAAAAGAGATGATGAATGTTCTAATCAGCGTAGGTTGCTTAAAGTAGTCTTAGGTTCTCCTGATGAACGGAATCATCTACTGGCTAATATACACAACCTTTCCGGGTCAGGAATTTCAGTCAGACCTGATTTATCTCTGGAAGACAGACGTAAACGAAAAGAAGTTTTGTCCCAGCTAGAAACAAGACTTAAAAATGGTGAGACTAACCTCAAACTGGTGGGTTTTCAAATAGTCAGGTCTTGGAAACGTATGCTTCCAAGACCTGTGTGGATAAGCCGGACCGCATAGGAAGCCTGAAGGTAGTGTACACCAATGTACGTAGTATCGGGAACAAATTTCACGAGCTAGGTGTATTAGTGGAAGACCTTAGCCCAAGTATTGTGGCCATTACTGAAACATGGCTGGTTTCTGGATTAGATGACACACCTGAGCTATGCGGATTTAGTTGCTTGCGCAGCGACAGGGTTAAGGGTCGTAGAGGTGGCGGGGTTGCTCTGTACATCAACAACTCCCTACATGTTCGTTCCGTGAAATCTGAAGCGCATGACAGTGGGACAAGTGAGGTAATTAGCTGTGAAGTAAGCTTTGCAACTGGCACTTTACTCATTGGTGTTCTGTATAGAAGTCCCTTTTGTCAGTGTGATGACTTCATTTTAGATCACCTCAAACAATGGAGTAAACACAGTAGCTGTCTTATTCTAGGTGATTTTAATGCACCTCATATAGACTGGGTAGCTGGCACATCTCCAGGATCCACTAATAAGTTTGACAGCCGGTTACTCTTGACTGCCATGGAAAATGCCCTGACACAACATGTCTTAGGTAGTACAAGATTCGGTTCTACCCAAGGATCTTCCTTGCTGGACTTATTGCTTACTCATGACAACGACGACGTGGATGGTCTAGTTATTCATCCACCTCTAGCAAACAGTGATCAGGGGGTGTTAGATTTTAACTTAAGAGCTGGCAATTTAGTCAGTTTTCAACCCGAATCCCGACCTAGTGTTTGGCATGCTGACATAGTCTCTATAAAGGAGCGTGCTTCAACTGCCGACTGGTCAGTCAGTATGGTCTCATCCATTGAAGATGAATGGGATAGATTTAAGAATACACTTGAGGGGGTTACCACTGATTTCATTCCCTGGAGGGTTCCTAAAAGACCAACAAACCGGCCACCATGGATAAATAGACAAGCTATAACACTCCTAAGACGGAGAAAAAGGTTCTGGAATCTCTTTGTTTCTACTGGGCTTCAGCAGTTCCGGCTGAAATACTGTGAAACCAGAAACCAGTGTAAAACTTTGATTCACCAGTCAAGGATAGCTTACGAAACCCAGTTAGTTAAAAGTTCACCAGGCTGCCCAAAAAGACTCTTCTCATATATCAAGAGAAGGACACGTAAGAGTGATGCTATCCCACCTCTTATGCTTGAAGATGACCAGACAAACATGGCTGAGGATAACTTGACTAAGGCTGAGGCTTTGTCCAGGCACTTTAGTCAAGTATTCTCTGATAATATTGATACCAGCTTTGTAACTTTTCCAGAAGGTAACTTGAAAATGGCACCCTTATACATTGGACAGGATACTGTCCTAAAGTGGCTTCTAAGGCTCAATCCTGGTAAGTCCAGTGGCCCTGATGAACTCCACCCACGTATATTAACAGCATTGGCTGAAAACATAGCCGAGCCGAGCCATTGTTGGTAATCTTCAATATGTCTCTGGACCAGTCCAAATGTCTAAGAGACTGGAAAGATGCCATCATTAGTCCGGTCTTCAAAACCGGATATGGAAACTTAGTTCAGAACTATCGTCCTGTTAGTTTGACCAGTATTGTTGTTGAACTACTAGAAAGAATAATTCGTGATGCTATCATTCAGTTCATTGAAGGGAACAAACTTTTCGCTGTGGAACAGCATGGTTTTAGAGCAGGTCATTCTTGCTTGACCAACCTTCTTTTGGCCAGAGAAAGTTGGGCAAGCTCAGCTGATGCTAATATACCGGTGGATGCCATATTCATCGACCTTAGCAAGGCGTTTGACAGGGTTTCTCATTCGGGTCTTCTAGTAAAGTTAGGTAGTATGGGAATCAATAAAGTGGTTTCCGACTGGATTCAAGACTTTCTAAAGGACAGAAGACAAAGAGTATGAGTTAACGGGGTTTTATCAACATGGGAAACGGTTAAGAGTGGCGTTCCTCAGGGTACAATTCTAGGCCCACTTCTTTTCTTGATTTATGTTAACGAGATTCCATCGGTAGTTAAGTCATCCTGCTTACTGTTTGCTGATGACATCAAGATATGGAGGGCTTTACACGATGACAGTGACCAACTTGCTTTGCAGGAAGATTTAAACTTGTTAAGTGATTGGTGTAAGCACTGGGCCTTGGAGATTAACTTAAGCAAGAGTGTAGTTATGCATGTATCTCATAGTCACGTGCACAATTACTCAATGAATGGCATTACTCTCCCAGTGGTCACTGAGTACAAGGACTTGGGAGTGGTTGTGCAGCACGACTTGAAAACAGCAACAAACTGTAGAGCTGCAGCCACTAAGGGTTTTCGAATATTATGGGCCATACGCGAGGCTTTTGCGAACTTTGACGCTGATATATTTCGTATATTATATCCGACTTATATCAGACCTCATTTGGAATATGGGATCCAGGCAGCGAGCCCGTGTTTCAAATACGAAATAGACTTATTAGAAAGAGTGCAAAGAGTAGGAACTAAGCTAATAAAGGGTTTCTCAACCCTCTCATATGAAGAGAGGTTAAGTCGACTGGGTTTATTTCCACTGTCATACAGACGACTTAGGGGTGACCTAATACTAGCACACCGTATCCTAAGAAATGATTTTGGAGCAAATTTATCTAATTTATTTCTTCCTTCCAGCACCAACCAATTGCGAGGACATCACCTCAAGGTTCAAAAACCACGGTCGATTCGTCTGCGTTTGGAGATCCGTTTTTCGCATCGAGTTGTGAACCATTGGAACTCCCTACCGGAACACGTCGTATCAGCTCCATCCGTTGATTCATTCAAGGCGAGATTGGACCTCCTGTGTGTAACAAATCGAAAGGATTAACACAGGCATATAGCCTACTATCCTAAATAAATTGTAAACTGTGTAAATACATATACATAGTAAATTTTCTTAGCAACAAAATGAATATTTTCAAAAGTTTGTCATTAGAACTGTAAATT